GGGTGCGGACGGACCAGGAGGGGCTGTTGGCCAAGGTGGGCCCCAGCGTGGGTGAACCCGGCTGGCCGTGGGGTCCCCGGTGCTGGCCCCGCATAGACCTTTGTCCCTCTGGTCCCCAGGAGCTGGAGGACACCAACAAGTGGGGGCTCAACGTGTTTAAAGTTGCCGAGTACTCGGGCAACCGCCCACTGACAGTCCTCATGTACAGCATCTTCCAGGTGAGCACCCCAAGGGGATGTCCCCGTCCCCGTGACCGAACGGGGACGAGCCACCTCCTGCCTCCCTGCAGGAGCGTGACCTGATGAAGACCTTCCACATCCCCGTCAACACCTTCATCACCTACATGCTGACGCTGGAGGACCACTACCACGCCGACGTGGCCTACCACAACAACATCCACGCCGCCGACGTGGCTCAGTCCACCCATGTCCTCCTCTCCACACCTGCGCTGGAGGTGAGTCCTGGTCACCCAAGGACACCGAGGCCACCAAGTGGGTCTGGTGAGGCCATAACACATCTGCAGTGCCTTTTTCCACCATGCCTAGGCTGTCTTCACGGACCTGGAGATCATGGCTGCCATCTTCGCCAGTGCCATCCATGATGTCGACCACCCCGGTGTCTCCAACCAGTTCCTCATCAACACCAGTGAGCTGGGGTGCAGGGATGGAGCTGGGGTGGGGGGGGGAATGGGGATGGGGGACCCCGGCATCCAGGAGCCACCCCAGGGTGACCGGCACCACCTTGCAGACTCAGAGCTGGCGCTGATGTACAACGACGCCTCGGTGCTGGAGAACCACCACCTGGCTGTGGGCTTCAAGCTTCTCCAGGAGGAGAACTGCGACATCTTCCAAAACCTGAGCAAGAAGCAGAGGCAGTCGCTCCGCAAAATGGTCATCGACATGGTACGGAGGGGTGGAGGGGGGGCTGGACCACCCCAGGGTGAGGGGTCTGGGCTGAGGGAGGGGCTTTGTGGTGGGGTCAGGCTGAGCCCTGTTCTCGGCTTGCCCTGCCCAGGTGCTGGCCACGGACATGTCCAAGCACATGAATCTGCTGGCGGATTTGAAAACCATGGTGGAGACCAAGAAGGTGACCAGTCTGGGGGTGCTGCTGCTGGACAACTACTCCGACCGGATCCAGGTGGATGCGGGGATGTGGGTGGGAAAATCTTCCTGGCATCGCAGGAGCCGGTCCTGGCTCCGGCCAGGGCTGCCAGGATGTCCTGTTTGGGTGCCACCATCCCTCTCAAGCCCAGTTGGCCATGGCCGGAGGGGGTTCCTGGCACAGGGGTGGTAGCCCTGGGGGACAAAGGACTTGGCGTGAGCGACGCCGTGTCCGCAGGTCCTGCAGAACATGGTGCACTGCGCCGACCTCAGCAACCCCACGAAGCCGCTGGAGCTGTACCGGCAATGGACCGACCGCATCATGGTGGAGTTCTTCCGCCAAGGTGACCGGGAGCGGGAGAAGGGGATGGAGATCAGCCCCATGTGTGACAAGCACACCGCCTCCGTGGAGAAGTCCCAGGTGGGGCAGCGGCGTGGGGCTGGGGTGTGGGGGGCCGCAGGGCCAGGCTGGGGGCTCAGCTCGACCTTCCCCTTCCCCCCTAGGTGGGCTTCATCGACTTCATCGCCCACCCGCTGTGGGAGACGTGGGCCGACCTGGTGCACCCCGATGCTCAGGAGATCCTGGACACGCTGGAGGACAACCGGGAGTGGTACCAGAGCATGATCCCGCGCAGCCCGTCCCCACCGCCCGAGGGACCTGGAGTGTCCCCCGCTGCCACCGACAAGTTCCAGTTCGAGCTGACGCTGGAGGAGGAGGAGGAGGGCGAGTCGGACACGGAGCTGGAGGGGG